TCTCTCTCTGCATGCCAGGTTCTACTGGATGTGGTAGAATGAGAACAAAGGCCGTGGGAAATACAGCAAAGGAGGCAAGAAACCCAGCCAAATTGATGAAACCCATCTACCTTAAGGTGAACTTTAAGGTTAAAGGAAATTATTTGCTATCTGGGATCATTATGAAGTAAAGTGGGAAGAGGTAAGGAGGACAACTAATCTTTGTGGCTGCTAGCCTGTTTCTTGTCCATTGTGGGCTTTTAACATTGTGGACATATTAGAGGGCAACCCCAAAGGGAAATGGCTAAGTGAGTCCTCACTTGTATGCTTAAAAAGACTCAGAACACATCCCAAGGGCAGGCACACACTGAAAAGTTAATAAGGGATTTATCTATAAGAGAAATGAGAAGAGAAGGAACACAATGAGTGATTGAGATATACAGAAAGAGTTGGTTAATGCATCCTACTTTATTAGGTACTGTACTAGCTTAGGTAATGCTGCCTAAACTGGGGCCTTGGACAAATGGTGAAGGAAGGGAAAACCAAGTCCCTCCAGCCAACATGTCCTCCCTTTCTATCAAGCATGACCACTTAACTCCATCTGATATCCCAACAGTTCCTTTAAGAAGTCAAGTGTTATGGAAGATCCATGGCATGATGGGCGTTGTACTCTTAGGCACTTGGTATTTCTTTGACATGGAGGTGGGAGTAGAGTCCTTCATACATTGTTGGGTGATGTTTATGCAGGGCATACTGTTCCCCCAACAAACATACAATATTCTAGGAACAACCACTTTCATGTTTTAACATACAAACAAGCAAAAGCTATGGCCTACATTTAAGGTGTGTGAAATAAACAAAATTCTACTGTCAGAGAATAAACATTTTCAGCTCCCACTAGTGAAGTAGAAAAAGAACTTAACACACAGAGTCTGTAGTCCCCTTTCCCATTTAGTAACTGAAAAAGCTTATGCACATTCCACAGAGCAAGGTCACCCAACCTCTACTAGTTTAGAACCTTTACCTCATGCTGGGCACCTTGATTGTAAAACTCCTATCCTATCTTACTTAACCAACAGGATGTACTGGCCAGCAATCTTGTTAAACAAAATCCATTTATAACTCCTTGCCAGGTCAGAAGCTAAACAGGTTTAGGTTTAGGGCTACATTTTGAGCCCCTGACCCCTCAAACTAAGCAGTTTTTACACTAGTAACCCTGACACCCAAGACACAATTCCATTTCAGTCTGTCTACTCTGGTTCTCCAGGGTATTCTCTCACCTGCAACAAAGCTTCACACCTAGCTCACTTACTCTGACTCCTACAGGGACTCTTTCCTCCTCTGCAGAAATCAAGAACTTCCAGTGTCCCTCATCACCCTCTGAGCCCAATCATAATGACCAAGGAGCTGGAAGATTTAAACAATCGGTCCCTTGCTTTTGTAAGGGTTAACAGTGCAATTGTTCTAAAGTAAGCAATTAAAGCCCTATTATTTGCCTTCCTCTGCACGTGGATAGCTTAAAAAAAAAATTACAGGTCAAAATAAATTATGACCAAAAGGCCCTTTCCTCCAATGATGACATCATTAATAAACAATGACTAACTGTTCGAACTACATAAAGTAAACTGAAGTTAAATTTGGGATCACTGGAACAGTTCTCAGAGTAAAGTCTGTTGGACTGTTTATATTTGGGAAAGATTTCTGTTCAAAAAAAGCTTTAAAGCTTCATTACTAAAAGTATTTTATCTTTCTGGAATTGAAAATGACTTGCTCTAAAGGCTCTATGATGGCGGTATGGAAACAAGAAGATGTATATGTGGTCTGCAGCCTCAGTAATCCCTGCTAGGTTCCCTGTATTCATCAAGAGCTTCAGGAGAATAACTAGTTAACAGACTGGAAATTTTGCCAACTCAAAGGAAGCCGGGGCTTCTGTACATGAGAAGAGAGAGTCCTTCCACCATTTTTAAGAGTATCAGTCTCATATCTCACACCTATAAGAATGGCCCGTCTCAAAGGCCAGAAGGAACAGTATTGGTGTGGCTGTGAAGACAAAGGAAACTTTCACATTGCTGGTGGGAATGTAGACTGGTATAGCCCTGTGGAAATCAGGTAGAAGTTTTGCAAAATCTAAAAATGGATCCACCATACCATTAACCCCAAAATATAAAAATGTTAATTTGAATGAAAATTTGTGCTCCCATGTTACAGCAGCACTATTCACAACTGCCGTGATATGGAAATAGTCTAAGGGTCATCAAAAAAATGAGGGGATCAAGAAGATATGGTATATATACACAATAGAATACTACTCAGCAATCAAGAAAGATAAATTCATGTCATTTGCAGTAACATCGATGGAGCTGGAAGGGCTTATGCTAAATCAAATAAGCCAGAAGGGGAAAGATACACGCTGGATGGTGTGACTAATATGTGGAATACAGAAATATGAAACAAAGGGTCAGACAATGACAAACTTTAAAATCAATTCCTGAACACTGATCACAAGTCTTTGGCTTTCAGAGGGGGAGTAGGGAGAGGGAGAGGGGTGAAAACAGGGAGTTGGGGCAGGGAGAACACAAAAGATTATGGTGGTGGGAGTGCTATGGTGACTACATCTGAGGGAGGAATTCTCTACAGTCTAAACACTAGCAAAGATCTAAATTATTGGCCCTTCAATAACAGCAATAACAGAAGACTAAGAGTTCCAACTTCATTGGGTTTTCGCTAGAAAGCTAATGCTTGAAATCCTAGAGCAGAGAGGCCAGTTGTCTTAAAATTCCCCTGGGCCAAAACATCCAGAAGAATGAGACAAATTTCTGTAACAACCTGGAGAATTTCACTTTGGAGCAACACTCTATTGAATGAACTTGGCAAAAAAAAAAAAAGAAAAAGAAAAAAAAAAGAAAAGAAAAGAGAGGCTCTAGGAAAAATCTCTGGTTCTTACTACTTAAACTTTTTTAATGGAAAGATTTTGTCTTATAGTTTGAACTACTAATAAAAGGTGCTAGAGAGAACAGGAAACAGCATAACTAGGAAACTTCTACCATTATCATAACAGAGTTGAACATAGTCCTGTGTATAAACACAATGAGAAATTATGACAGTCTTAAAAAGTTCACATCTCCTTTGTCTTCTTGGTAACTATGATAAAACGTTGCACTTAGGGGAATTTATGTCACTTGAAGCCTTTACAGGGACTCTAATGACACTAGCTAACGTTTACTAAGTACCTATAAAGTACCTATATATGCATGATCATGATTCCATGTTATAGATGAGGAGGGCGGAGGGGTTTGGAAATTTAGAGAAGGTAAAAAATGAGCACAGACCATCATCAGGCCAACTGCTCACAAAACTCGAGTATTATGTTATTACTTGCGAAAGGACATCCGTTTCTAACTAGATTGCTTTTGTCTTCCATACAATATTAATTTACAAAATTAATGAATCTGGGCTCTCCCTGGTGGCGCAACAGGTTAAAGCACCACATTATGAAGCTCTCTGAAGCCATTGCAGCAGGAGTTCGATCCCCTGCCAGGGAGCTGACCCACTGGCGCAGCACATCTCTCCTTACCTGCCCGCTGCTCCCCTCAACAGTGTACTTTTTAGATCTGCCTGTTCTGCTTCCCACTCTGTCTCTGGTGAATCTTCTCACCCACTACTCCTCTGGCCTGTACCCCAGTTCTGTATGCATAAATAAATAAATCTTTTTTAAAAAGTAATGAAGCTACAAAAAGTTATGCCTACATTAAGTAAAGAACTAATTCTGTCCTTTAGCAGCCCCAATCTTTTTTTCACCGGGCCTTTGGCTTTTACATTCACTCAAGTCTATGACTGAGTGAAAACCCCGTCAGGTTTTCACTCTGTCCACTCAAGGGTCTTTAGCGTCTTTCACCTCTCTTCTCATTTCTTGCTATTTCTACCATTATATGTCCCACTCCAGTAATACCAAGAGTTCCTCGTGGACACAAACAAGGCCGCTTCACTCCCTGTATCTTGCATATGTTTCTACTTTAGTCTCAAACATCTCTCTCCTGCCCCAGCCTACCTGGGGGCCTCTGTCACCTTGTATGTCCCTGTTCTGGTTTCATCTTCTAAGAAGCTTTTCTGGCCAGTATGCAGTATCCCCTGCCCTTTGGACAGCCCACTGCATTCTGCATCTCTGCACGCATTTCTAGTACGGCCTATAAACACACTGTTTTTGTGCTTGTGTCTCCTGCTAGAATTAAAAAACTGCTGTGGGGAGCAAGATTAGTCTACCCAGCACTGGTACAGATCTGACACTATGATTAACATGGTATTTACTAAATTTGACTGCTTTTAAATGATGCATTTAGAGCTTCACATTCTGTGCCATTTCAAAAAAAATAAAGGCAGTGCAACTGAAGTTTGACCATAAAAAGAAGAGGAATAACAATCACCAGTCTTGGCTGCCTTGAAAATGTGAACTCTTCCTCAAGTTAATAATTCTATTATAAGGGACATGGAAAAGAAGAGCACAGTGATCACAAGTAAGGCAACAGGTATCTGGGAAGATGGCTGCAGGGATGCAGAAGGAGGTGAACTTGCACTAGGATCATGGAAAAAGGTGAGTTCCTGAAGTGGTCAGTGTGGATTAAGGTGCTCACATGGGGCTGTGTGTCTGAGAACTTCCCTGGGTGTTGGGTGTTGGAGAACTATTCACACTCCCAATAACTTACAGCAATGTAAATAGTTTTGTTTTTTTCCTCTCTTTTTGACAGTGCTGGAAGGAATCCCCTCATAGTCACAGGTAGAGAAGAACACACAAGAAAGAAAAACACCCTCAAATAAGAGAAGGCATAATATGGTTCATAAGTGAATATAACTTTCAAAGTAGAAGTCATTCCTTCAGTCGTGACATACCAAAAGAAACAAAAAATTGTTTCCTAGTGGGCAGAGGGTCCCATCAGTTCTTCATTTTATTATGTGGATGACAGTCTATGTACTTTAAACAACATAATTTTCAAAATTCTGTCTACTTCCAACATTTCAAAACTTACCTCTGAAAGCACTAATGTCCCCATAGTGCACCTGCAGTACAAAGTATTTACTTCCAGTCTCTCCTCCCACTCTGAATCCAACACCTAGTTTTGCAAAAGAAAAGAAATGTTTTAGAAATGGAATTTTAATTGAATTACTCTCCAATGGATGGTTTACAGATGCAAATGGAAATAAAATAGCATATAAAGGGAAAGGATGCTATACATGAAATTGAAAATAAACTGGGCATTCACTGAAAGTGTCTACTATAATCTTTCATTCATTTACACTTTAACGTACAATTCACTCATTTTGAAAGAAATAAAAGAAACAAAATCCTGTCTTGTTGATAGTAAAATAGATAAAAATAAACCAATTACTTTATTTTGTTTGGTATATAATCCTATGCATTTTTATTTTCTGTTAGATTATGTCAAAGAGATTTCTTATGAATATCTCAGAGGGATTACTTTTAATTACCTATAAAAACATATTTGCAAAATATTAAGGATACTAGTTACCAACTAGATTACAAAGTCCAGTGTATCAATATGTAATAGGCTCCTTAAACTCTTATTATTAATACAGTTTGCTAGTCATGTGAGAAAAAAATCTACAGGGAAAATAATGATAGGTGGGAAAAAAATTTTCATCTGCACCATTACTCTTAAAAAGGTCAACAAATGTTTGACAGACCTTCCTATTATTCCCAAATTTGCTTGGTAGCAGCTCCTTGTTAAACTAGAGGGAATTCTGATCCTGATTTGAAGCAAACTAAGACAGACATCAATTATCACTGGCATGAATTACTAAGCCAAGAGAAGGTTTGTGCAAAATGAGACACCATGGCTAGACCATGGTAGACTTCTGTAACAGAACGGCATAATCCTGTTAGTACTGAGAAACATTCAGGTAATTAGAGCTTGGTACCCACTCACACTAGAAGCTCTGGGCAGTTTAGAGGACAAGTCAGAAAGCAAGTTGAGTTTGGCATGGCACTGAATACACCTCAGTTTAGTATTGCAAAAAAAAAAAATACATTTGCCAAAACAGCAATTTATTTATCCTTCTTAGCTGTCCTGGCTCATGAAATGCTCTTACTATCAAAAACCAATGTGCTTTAAGCCCAAGGAGCTTGATGTATATATGATTAATTTCTATCTAAAGGATTATGTAGGCAAATTACTAAAGAGAAGCAAATAAAATGAGTAAATAAAACCTTTTCAACAGAAAGCAAGTAATACAGGTATTTTCTAGTATGAGACTGTAGCACAAAAAATAGTCAACAATTATTTGAAAGAATTTTAATAAAAAGTACTTGGGAAATGAGAAATTAAGCAGCTCAATGTAAAAGTGTCATGGCTACCTTTTGGGAGTCTGGTTGGGGGAGCATTTCTTGCCCAGGCATATAGAATGTTGGCTTTATCTGCACAAGTTCCTTCATCACAAAACCTGAAGAAAAAGAAAAGCCATTATAAATGAAGATTCAAGTTATAAAATGCACAAATCACTTCCCATGGAGGAGAGCATAGGGAAAATATTTGAAAGCCAAAGTAAGTCCATCAATAGATCTTCACTGTCATCTTACCAGCTTTACGATCCTAATGTAGATGTGAACAAAGAATAGTTATATGAAAAAAAAGTTTCTATAGAGATTTGTGTTTGTGACCAATGTGAAATAATCCTGTGAGGTAGATATACAATATATACTTTGATATATTCACATGTGGAATGTACTCCATGTAATCAGATCGAAATGTAAGTGTTACATAGAGAAGAGGTATAAACGATTGTCAACCCAGGGGTTTGGGTCTGTAGGTTGACTAAAAGACATGTCATATACAGTTCCCCAAAGGAGATCAGTGTTATCGATAAATCTTTGACCACAGTGACAAGCAGTGAACAGTACCTTCCCTGAGTGGGTGAACAATCCAAGTACACTGCCCTAAGGGGCTCCTGACTCTAAGTTCATGAATTCTGGTTGTACCATTTGTAAGTTGTTTCACCTTGTCCTAGTCCATTTTATTGAGCCTCAGTTTTCTCTTGTAAGACCAAAGAAGGATAGTTCTACTTAATACACAGAATCATTTCTAAATCAAATGAGATAAGTGAAAGCACTTTTTAAACCTTAAAGCACTCTACTAGCGGAATGCATTATTTAACAAAATGTTCACCTTATCTGAAGATGTATTGTTGAGGGTGGTACTGCACAGTGAAAGTAGCACAGACAGAAAGACATATCTGGTGCTGAGCCCCAGATGCTCCCCTTAACAGGAGCATCATGGGCATGTGGATTAAGACTCAAAAGCTCATGAGCTGTGGTGGTGATGAGTATAGGAACCCAAAGTTGCTAACTGGCACACTGGTGTCTGTATTAGCAGATCCAATTTTGCAAATGGTAAGCTGCTTTACCCAAACTACACATTATCTCCCCATTATACTCTGCTCTGTTATAAAATTGTTCAAAATGCTGTTAGGTGACTTACTTTTTTTTTGCTTTTATAGATCTGTGTTTTGAGGAACTGACTCCAAGTAAGGCCAGAGCCAGCAGTTTTAGCAAGTATGAACTATTTGAAGGCTGTCAAGGACACCATGGCTACCATGGCAGCTTCATGGGTAAGTAGCTGGCTCACACAGATGGCATATGTGGCAGCTTCCTAGGTGGGTTGAAGCTGAGGTGAAAGTCCTGGAGAAAACTACTACTAAGAAGTATCAGCATACTCAGAGCAGGGACTTCTAACATGTTTCCTGCTTAAAACCAAAAATAGGGTGGAAGTTAGGTAGTAAGTACAAGCAGACAGCTATTATTCAATTGAATAAACAGGCGAGGAACTGGAAACTAGGGATTCCCCATAAGGTTATATTTAGCAAGTGATCTTCTATAAATCACATTGCAGAAGGAAATTGGATAATGTGCAATGTAAAACAAATCAAGAAGTAGTTTCTTACTGTTCGTTGTCAAGAACAATGTACTTACGAAGAAGAATTATTACCATTTGAGACTTGTGTGTTGGAATAAATGTCTGCGACAACTTGTGCCAACTGCTAAAAAGGCTTAAGGTATTGGACAGTGCACAAAAGAAAAAATTTCCTCCTGGGTCACATGCTATAATAGTTAAAGAAATTAGATAGTTAGATGTGTTGAACTTTGTATCTCACTGCTGTGAGCTACTAAAAAGTAAAGATCTGGGTGGCAATCTTCATAGCTTCCAACCAAGATCATAAACAGACAAGTCCATGACATCAATATGATGGCAGTCTTTGGATAAACAAGATAATTACTTCCTCTGATACAAAAATAAGATAGAAATCAGACTTCTATACAACTAGGAAAATCAACAATGAAATATAACAGGGAAAAATGGTTTAGTAAAATTTGCTAAGCCACAGATCTGATTATGTCACTTGCTGGCATAAAGTCTTTCAAATACTTCCCAAAAATAACACAAAATAAAATCCAAACATTGTAGCATAACACATAAAGTCTTTCATGATATGGGGCCCTGTTATATCTCCAGGGAAAAAACTGTTCAGTCATAGCATGTTGCTGCCAATTTTTCTCTTTCTTTCCCTCACTGTTTCTTTGCCTGGAAAACTCCTTTCCCAACCCTTTGTGTGACAAACAGTATCACCTACTCCTTCAACGTTCAGTTCAAGTCTCCTTTCTTCTTAAGGATAAAGCTTTCTCTGATTCCCAACCCATCCAACTTCCATAATTCCATTCATATTCTCATTCTCTCTCTCTCTGCCCCACCCTTCCATCTTCATATGATTCACCCTTTTTATATGATGTACCCACTTTCTACTCCTTCTGATATCCACTAATTTGGTCATCACCAACTGTTGTTGGTCATAATACAACTATTTTTCTACAATTCATTTGTTTATTTTGTTTCTTTCCATACTGCCTATGAATGAAGACATACGTCTTTGTGTTTCTCCATCTTTTTAACGTGAAGCTCATTCATCTATGTATCACTTCATTTCCCCTCCCACAAGCCTGTGCTTACTGTGAAATTCACAATCCTATCTTTCACCCTGGACTTCCAGGACATACAACCCCATCTGGCTTTTACCACATAGCCAAAAATATTGAAGTTAACAATTCATTAAGTTCCTAATTTTTCATTCATAAACACACAAAAGAATTTAATTGACTTAAATTACACTGTGTTGTCAACTTTAATAAAATTGAAAAAATATAGTTAAAAGGTTTGAATTCAATTGAATCACAATAACTTTGAGTCATTCTTTTCCTGATATTTTATACAAATCAGCTAATAGTCACTCTCACATAACATTTCAAGTAGGTTATATTTGACAGAAGAACAAGCTCAGAGGGTTTATATAAGTTTCAAAGGTCAAGGTCAAACCATCAATCAAAATACTGGCTATCACATTCTTTTCCAATTTCAAATTCTAAGTCTGTTTTATAGGCAGAGAAGGAAATTATATGGAGATAATATTTCATGGTGACTAGTAAATCTGAACTAAGCTGAGTTGTATATGAAATTCTAAAATTGAATTCTAGATCAAATAAATTCTGCCATATTTGCCAAAAGACATGATTTTATAGTTTATTTTCTTATTGGGTCTGTTAAAAAAAGAGCATTGAAAGCAAACTTTGGTTTGGCTTTTTAAATCCTGTTTTATGATTTAAAAACAAAAAATCAATGGGTGAAAAGTGATTCAATGGAGGGCACCAGGACATTGAGACTAATCCTAAACTTAATGAGTGAGAGAATTGTGTGAAGAGGAATGACAAGAGGCCAAAGGAAATTGATTTATAATGAATAATACAACAGTGTGACAAAGGGCATTTGGATAAAATCCCTGTAACTTTTTATTTTCCAATTTCCATTTCCCATATCAATTAAAGTATGATAAAGTTTATTACACAAAATGGCCAAAAGGATAAAGATAGTATTGTGTATTTTGCTTTCCAAAAAAATCCTACAAATAATAGAGAAGGCTTTTCATAAGGAATTTGAGGATAGGAAACAATGTAACCCTTTATCACCAATTGTTATTATTTCAGGCCCCATCATCCAGGTTTCTTATTCTTAGAATTCTAGCAGCTTCTCCAAAAGGCTTCTCCAGATTAAGCCAATTATTTGTAAAAAGATTCACATAGCTCTCTGGTGGTTTCTCAGTGTTCATCATAAAAATGATGAGAATTAACATTTGAAAATAAAGCTATTCAGAATTCTCGGACCTTTGCTATAGTACCTTTTTCACCTCTAATCCACAGGGAAACTGCTCAGATGGCATGAATATTTTCAGATTATGCCAAGCACTGAAAAGTGCTAGCCTGTCATTTTGAATTATCCAAATAAAGTGTGATTGACTGTTAAAACACCCTCTGGTTGTATCTTTTAAAGGCTATTTAAAAATCCAAGGTTACTCAGGGAAGATCAAAACTGATTACTCATTTCTCCTTTTGGCTTAAATTCTTTTTTTTTTTTAAATAAAATGGTCATGCTAAGTTAAGTCTGTGTGACCTTAAATTTCAATCCTAACAGAATCACTGGAAAATTAAGCCAAAATTAGAAAACAGCTTTAAGAAATGCACCATAAAATCAATCACATGTGGAATGTCTTTACCTTTCGAAATTGTATCCAGTATGAGTTAGGTATTTAAATTTCATTAGCTGCTCTATAAACCCAGAGAACAAATTTCCCAGTTCAGACAAATCCTATGTGAATCTCAGTGCAATGGGTATGCATTAGCATAGCAATTAGAAATGCACTTAATGGGAAAGCTAAATCATAGTGGTGATAAAAAGTATCAGCCTGATAAATACCACTGCAGCATCCATACCCCCATGAGATTAAAGGCAATAAAGTCCACAAAAGGAGAAACTGTCTACACCAAATTCTCAGTGCCTAACAAAGTGCTCGGCACAAGTAGATGGCTAGTAGATATTTTATTAATAAATGAATAAGGATGATAACTCCCATTTATTAAGTCCTTCTATGCACCAGGCACTGCCCCAAGCATGTCATTTGGCCTTACTTTACTACAAGATGGTATCAATCAATGAGATTAATAAACACATTTTACAAATGAACAAAACAGACTATTCAAGATGAATAACTTGACTGATGATAATGTAGAGTAGGTGAGTTATTAGGTTTTCACACCCTTTTACCACTAGCTTGTATGTCCAGCACCTGTGGTATTACATCACTCCCATTGTAACAGGGTAACCTGAAGTGTGCTGGGTGCTGGTCTGTAGGTCCTCACCCCTGCGAATAAGATTCAATTGTACTGCAGGCACACACAAAAAGGTTCAATAATGAGTTTACTTACAAGAGGGAAGGAAAAGGTACAATCCAGAGAAAGAGAGAGATACAAGTTAACTAGAACATCCTTCCAGTTCTGCTGCCTTGGAACTTAAATAGCACGCTTAAAGCTCATCAAGAGCCAAATGACCAGCCACTAGCCATGC